CTATAGAAATCTAGATGTACAACATACAGAGCAGAGATGCACACAGTAATCTTTCTGTTCAGTAATTCTCTGGCTATAGCAGCAGCAGAACAACCCCGGTCTTTGCAGACACATTGGTGGATCAGTATGCTGTGTGAGGTTGTGTGGGTTGGCAGGACTGCAGCCATCTGCCTCTCACTTTTCCCTCCTCTCCTTTATTTTTTTTTATGTGTGACCGGTACTCATCCCATCTCTTCCTGTGTGTGTTCTGGTCAGAGGAAACTCCGCTGGGACATGTGAGAACGGCGTTCAGCCTGCGTGTGTCTTCACTTCCATTAACGCTTTCTGTGTGTGCGCCTTGCAGTGATTGGCTCGCCCTGGAGCAAGCTACCCTTCACAACACTAACTCACATACAACAGTCCTTCTTCTTTGCAAGCTGGCCTGTTCACGCAAGCTGGCCTGTACGCGTCAAGCTGGCCTGTCAAGCTGGCCTGTTCGCGTCAAGCTGGCCTGTTCGCGGCAAGCTGGCCTGTTCGCGTCAAGCTGACCTGTTACGCGTCAAGCTGGCCTGTTCGCGTCTAGCTGGCCTGTTCGCAAGTCTAGTACTGGCCTGCCTGTTCGCGTCAAGCTGGCCTGTTCGCAGCAAGCTGGCCTGTTAGCGCCTGTACGCGTCAAGCTGGCTGGCCTGGCCTGTTCGCGTCAAGCTGGCCTGTTTGTGTCATGCTGGCCTGTTACTGGCCTGTCAAGCTGGCCTGTTCGCGTCAAGCTGGCCTGTTTTGTGTCATGCTGGCCTGTTCGCGGCAACGCTGACCTGTTCGCGGCACGCTGACCTGTTCGCGGCACGCTGGCCTGTTCGCGGCAAGCTGGCCTGTGCAAGATTTGCAACGCTGATATAAGAGTGTCGGGTCGTCTGACTACATCTTCCAGCAAGCTGGGAAAGTGATTCCGTCTAGCTTTTTCCATGTAGAACGGTCACAAAGCCCATTTTTGGCCTATGATCACATTAGAAGCAACTCTGTGTTGCTAAAAACCTCTCTCCATCCTCGGGGTGAAGGATGATTCGACCCGTGCGGCATTCACTGCACAGCCAAAGAATCATTTCATTTTCCCGTTGAAGATTACATTCCAGCAAGGTGGAAGATCTCTCAGATGATCTCATTGGTTTGGTTGCAACTCACACCATGTATGGACAGCTTCAAGCGGACCGTATACTTTTCTGTTAGATCGAAACTTTGTAATGTGAAGGCTTACCTAACCAATCCATCCATTCTGTATCATTCCTCACCTAACCAATCCATCCATTCTGTATCATTCCTCACCTAACCAATCCATCCATTCTGTATCATTCCTCACCTAACCAATCCATCCATTCTGTATCATTCCTCACCTAACCAATCCATCCATTCTGTATCATTCCTCACCTAACCAATCCATCCATTCTGTACCATTCCTTTGTAACCAATCCATCCATTCCATTCTGTATCATTCCTCACCTAACGAATCCATCCATTCTGTATCATTCCTCACCTAACCAATCCATCCATTCTGTATCATTCCTCACCTAACTAATCCATCCATTCTGTATCATTCCTCACCTAACCAATCCATCCATTCTGTATCATTCCTCACCTAACCAATCCATCCATTCTGTATCATTCCTCACCTAACCAATCCATCCATTCTGTATCATTCCTCACCTAACCAATCCATCCATTCTGTATCATTCCTCACCTAACCAATCCATCCATTCTGTATCATTCCTCACCTAACCAATCCATCCATTCTGTGTCATTCCTCAACTAACCAATCCATCCATTCTGTATCATTCCTCACCTAACCAATCCATCCATTCTGTATCATTCCTCATCTAACCAATCCATCCATTCTGTATCATTCCTCACCTAAATAATCAATCCATTCTGTATCATTCCTCACCTAACCAATCCATCCATTCTGTATCATTCCTCAACTAACCAATCCATCCATTCTGTATCATTCCTCACCTAAATAATCAATCCATTCTGTATCATTCCTCACCTAAACAATCCATCCATTCTGTATCATTCCTCACCTAAACAATCCATCCATTCTGTATCATTCCTCACCTAACCAATCCATCCATTCTGTATCATTCCTCACCTAACCAATCCATCCATTCTGTATCATTCCTCACCTAACCAATCCATCCATTCTGTATCATTCCTCACATAAACAATCCATCCATTCTGTATCATTCCTCACCTAAACAATCCATCCATTCTGTATCATTCCTCACCTAACCAATCCATCCATTCTGTATCATTCCTCAACTAACCAATCCATCCATTCTGTATCATTCCTCACCTAACCAATCCATCCATTCTGTATCATTCCTCACCTAAATAATCCATCCATTCTGTATCATTCCTCACCTAAATAATCCATCCATGCTGTATCATTCCTCACCTAAACAATCCATCCATTCTGTATCATTCCTCACCTAAACAATCCATCCATTCTGTACCATTCCTCACCGAACCAATTCATCCACCAAATTCATCCATTCTCCTCACCTAACCAATCCATCATTCCTCACCTAACCAATCCATCCATTCTGTACCATTCCTCACCTAACCAATCCATCCATTCTGTATCATTCCTCACCTAACCAATCCATCCATTCTGTATCATTCCTCACCTAACCAATCCATCCATTCTGTATCATTCCTCAACTAACCAATCCATCCATTCTGTATCATTCCTCACCTAACTAATCCATCCATTCTGTATCATTCCTCAACTAACCAATCCATCCATTCTGTATCATTCCTCATCTAACCAATCCATCCATTCTGTATCATTCCTCACCTAAACAATCCATCCATTCTGTATCATTCCTCACCTAACCAATCCATCCATTCTGTATCATTCCTCACCTAACCAATCCATCCATTCTGTATCATTCCTCACCTAACCAATCCATCCATTCTGTATCATTCCTCACCTAAAAAATCCATCCATTCTGTATCATTCCTCACCTAAACAATCCATCCATTCTGTATCATTCCTCACCTAACTAATCCATCCATTCTGTATCATTCCTCAACTAACCAATCCATCCATTCTGTATCATTCCTCACCTAACCAATCCATCCATGCTGTATCATTCCTCACCTAAATAATCCATCCATTCTGTATCATTCCTCACCTAAATAATCCATCCATGCTGTATCATTCCTCACCTAAACAATCCATCCATTCTGTATCATTCCTCACCTAAACAATCCATCCATTCTGTATCATTCCTCACCTAACCAATCCATCCATTCTGTATCATTCCTCACCTAACCAATCCATCCATTCTGTATCATTCCTCACCTAAACAATCCATCCATTCTGTTCATTCCTCACCTAACCAATCCATCCATTCTGTATCATTCCTCACCTAAATAATCCATCCATTCTGTATCATTCCTCACCTAACCAATCCATCCATTCTGTATCATTCCTCACCTAACCAATCCATCCATTCTGTATCATTCCTCACCTAACCAATCCATCCATTCTGTATCATTCCTCACCTAAACAAACCCTTTAAATAACCTTTCCGGTCTCAGGGAACCCCGGCTAAACATTTCTACATCAACAACTCATGATACATTAGTGTGATGGTCAGTGAGAATTCCACCCTTACAGATAGTTAAAAAGATTAATGGTGTCAGTGGGAACTTGAGGCGGATATTGCTGATTGCTCATGGAACCCCTGGCAACCTCTGGAGGAACCCTAGTTGAGAATCCCTGGTCTAGAATAAGTTCTGCTCAGTATTAATGCTCATTGGTTCTATGGTTTCCTGAAGGAACTTTTTTTAGGAGAAAAATACAGCGGATGCCATTGCTGAACTCTTTTAAAAACACTAGTTGCCTGCCTGTCAATCTGGTCCTCTGGTTTCATGATTTTCAGTGTCGCTAACTCCGAACAAACACAAAAATGAAGAGTTTTGAATTTATGCCTGCATAGTTTAGTGGCCTAGAAAGTGTGTAAACCAGAATCAGCCAGGCAAGTAGTATTTTCAGCAATGGCAGCCTATAATATGTTTCCCAGAATAGGTTCACTTTACAGTAATAGACCCAAATAACACCTCTCTATGCCATGTAGATACCCACTGCCTTTCCTAACCCCATTCTTCTCATCAGCCACCATGAACATCTTTTGTGTATAGTGGACAATGTCGAATCCCAACCTTCCCCCTCCACTCCCTCTCCCACAAGGAGTGCTTGGTGCCTGATCAATCCCAAGCACTGATCCATGAATTGGGGTCATATACAAAGAATGGTCAGTACTTCTCTAGAATCTTTGAATTTACCAGCCAGCATCCTCCCATATCTAAAATATCCGTTTAACATGATCTGTTCTACTAAAGTATAACTAAAGGCAAAACTTTCTATCCAGTTTTGGATGGAGCAGAGAGGGATTAGAACCCCTGCCAGTTTTTATCGCTGTCTGTGCCCCCGTTCAGGAAATTCACCCTCCCTATTTATCCTATTATCATTGAAAGTGAATGAAAATTCCAAATTTTGAGCTGTCCCCAGAAAAGTAATAGAAGGGAAATCTTCCAATGGGGACATTAGTTCTGGTGACCTGGGGGACCCCCAAGGAATTCTCCCAATTTGCAGGGATTTCCTCTCACTTCCTGTTTGTCTATGGCAGAGGAAGTGGAGGAATATCTCCGCAATGGGACACTGATAAGGGAAGACACATCTAACAGGGGTTATAACCCTCTCTTACTCGATCCAAAATGGATAAAAAAAACTTTAATCTGTGGGTGCGTTTCAGTTGTAAGCCAGACTTGTAATCAGGTGGGATTTGGTGATTTTTTATTTTTTTGGAGGGGTTTTTTTTTACAACAAATCAAAAATATTTGATGAAACTGCATGTAACCTATGGAGTGTCACTTGCATATGAATGACAAATGGCTGAGACTTGTAGTGTACTCTTCAGTCTGTCTGGCTGGTGTGCAACATCTGTCTCTTTTCTACCACTAGGGCGGCGCTGGCGTCTGCCCACCAATCACAGCCCCTCCCGCGGACTCTGAGCGTTTTGAAGGAGACGCCTCAAGTGAACGTCATGCACACAATCATTCGGTAGGTGCTTTCCATGCAGCGTTTCCTCACCCTTCCCGGTTCGAATCCCCAGAAATACAGAGTATGTATCTGAGTATGACTGCATTTATCTTTTATTTCCCTCCAATCAGGAACCGGGAGACGAGCCGGGACGAATTCATCTTTTATTCACGGCGACTGATGAGGCTTCTTATTGAGTATGCGCTGTCTTTCCTGCCCTTCAGGGTGAGTATTTGTAAATGAAGTGATGCTTGCTGATGCAATCGCTCTCTCTCTCTTCCAACTGTCCTTTGTCCATCACCAGTTTCCAGACACAGCAATGTGCTCGATGATCCCTTCCCCTTCAATCATGCCCCTTACCCTGCATATCTTGTAAATAGCCTTTACACCAGGGGTGTCAAACTGTCACGAAACTACAAGTCCCATCATGCCTCTGCCTTTGGGAGTCGTGCTTGTAACTGTCAATCTTGCAATGCCTCATGGGACTTGTAGTTTGGCAATAGGTGAAGGGCTGCCAGTTTGACACCCGTGCTTTACACAATCAAATGTCAACATGCCCAATCGCCTCCTCACTTCTTCACAAATTCTCAGTGACCATGTAAAGTAATCTCATAGTGAAACAATGACCTGATTGGAAGGTCCATGCAATCCTATGGATAGGTGGGTGTACGTGGGCTTGTCTGTGTACACCCGCTTACCTCTGTGTCCAATCAGGCCCGCTAAAAAAAAAATTGAGGTCTGCTTCCTCTTCCATGTGGGCGGACCGGATCAGAGGCAGTCAGATGTAAATGGACAGCGGAGTTTGTTTACACCCAACCGCCCATAGAGCAGAGCGGATTCTGTCTGCGTTCGCTCTGCTAAAACTGAGTGGACAGAGGCCTGTCCTCCATCTGCCCTGCTCTGCTCCAATCAGTAGATCGGAACAGCAGCAGCCCCAAAGAGGGAAAATGAACAGATCTAAACTTGATGTTTTTTCCTCTTCTTTTAGCAATCTAGTGTTAGTGATGCTGTCAAGGTACAAACAAGATCCAAATAAAGTGGCAGATGCCTGTGTTCCCTGATGTGTGCCATGGGTTCATCTTCTGACCCCTAGGTTACTTCTGAGTCCTGTTGTAATGTAGGAGGTCAGACGATGAACCTCAGTGACAGGAACACGGGCATGTGACAATTTCTGAATTATAAGATGGAGGCTATTATGGAGGCTTCAGCACTGAAATGGGAGGGAAGGTGGGAGATATGGCCCATCGGAGAGGTGAGTATGATACCTCTTCTTCTTTTGCAGAGCATTTTTATTTAGAGATTTTACCCAGATAGGGTCCCTTTAGCAGACATTGAATCCTAAAATGAAAAAAAATGTGATGGTATCTTTCAATCTTTTATTTCCCAATTTTTTTTTTGCCTCGCCTTGTCCAGTGCTCTCAGATCCATGCAGCCTCTTAATAAATAGCTGGTCATAACTCAATAAAAGCAGAATGATTGTAAAAGAAAACATAATTCTTTTTGCCAGCACTACTCTCATGTAACAGATACGTCGACGATTCTGTTTTCTTCAAAATGTCTGAAGGAAGAAATGTAAGCAGGTTCTTCGATTGACCTCTTCCTTATATCGGTGAACGGACATTGCTTCCTGTGTGAACTGTCTCCATTCCTAATGGCCCATCTCTTCTCTCTGTAGACCTGCACCGTTCAGACCCCGCAAGGACACGAGTATGAAGGCAGGACGTATGATGGAAAACGAGTGAGTGGTGGGGACTCTGGTGGGGTGTTTTGTGCAGTGAAGAACAGGAAACGTGGAGGTGCTGGGTACACAGAATCTTGAATCTCCTAACCCGTGTCAGAATAAATCTAGTCACTTAGAGCCGTGTCCAAAATGCATCTCTATATGACTTATGTAAAGCTCATCTAGTCTCTGTAGGAAGTAAGACGGTGCAATGAAGGACCATAGAGAAGGTCAACCAGTATGAAGGTTTCCGTGTAGTCTAGAAGAATTATTATGTCAGTTGCTCTGGCATCTCTATGAAGTTAGATGGTGTGAGAGGAAGCGCCAGGCCACACCAGTGATCTGTTGCTGGAGGCAATTTATTAGTGACAGGATTACTAGGAGATCACAGCTGTCAGCAGCCGGCCCCTCTCTATAGTAGCTTTCCCGTTTCGGGTCCTATCTTCCCACACAGTGCACCAAGGGCACTCACCGCTCTGCCTCTTCTCCACTGGCTGGTAATCACCCCTGGGGCATTGGCTTCCATGCACTAGGCTTCAGGAGGAGCTGCCTAGCCCCTAAACGCACTGCATTCTGCACCTGCAGGTATCTGTTCCTTCCCTGTCCCACAGTGAGTACAGAGGTAGGGAGGTTCTGTGGGAGCGGATGGTGCTGTCACTTCAGCCTCGCTTCTGTGTTTATAAGAGACGGTAGATATGGGTGTGCACAAGGCCACTGGCAGAATGGCGTTCCGGCTGAAAAAAAGCCCTGATCACAACTAGGTCTTATTTTTGGGGTAGGTCTTATACTTTAGCAATTCCCAAAAATAGTGCTAGGTCTTATTTTAGGGGAAACGGGGTATATACGTGATTTTGCATTTCTGGGTAGGGGGCGTGTGTGAGCCCTACCCCTGCCGCCATTTGGATGTCAATCACTGGGTCTCAGTCGGTAATCACCAAGCATCTCCGATGGGGAGAAATATTATTTTGTTTACATACAATCTTCCTCCCTGTCAGCTCGAGCACACGGCTCAGTGTGCTTACAATGAAGAACACAAACCCCGCCCCCTAGTAAAACACTCCCAGCACACAGTTAAACCTTTCCTTCCAACCTCATGTCAAATCACTTACAAATACATGCAGGCTCCACCTCCGCACCATCGCCAAGATACGCTCCTTCCTCACCCCAGACACCACTAAACTACTCATACACTCCCTGATTATCTCACGCCTTGACTACTGCAACTCCCTCCTCACCGGCCTACCCCAGTGCAGGCTCTCCCCGCTTCAGACCATCCTGAACTCAGCGGCCAGACTCATCCACCTCACCAACCGCTCCACCTCTGCCACCCCCCTCTGCCTCTCCCTCCACTGGCTCCCTATCGCCCAACGCATCAAATTCAAACTACTCACTCTGACCTATAAGGCCATTCACAACACTGCCCCTAACTACCTCACCGACCTGATTCCCAGGTACCACCCTACCCGTACCCTTCGCTCTTCACAGGACCTCCTATCTTGCTCCTTGGTCTCCTCCTCCCACGCACGACTGCAAAACTTCTCCAGGTCCTCCCCCATCCTCTGGAACTCACTACCCCAATCCATCAGACTGTCACCTTCCCTCCTCACCTTCAGGCGCTCCCTGAAAACCCACCTCTTCAAGGAAGCCTAGCCCACCCTCACCTAACAGCCGCTGCCCTTCCCTCCTCCTACCACTCCATCCCCCACAGCCATTTCCTCCTCTACCACTACCCCCTCCCTTCTAGATTGTAAGCTCAAAGAGTAGGGCCCTCTTACCCCTCGTGTGCTGTTTGTAGTTACTGTACTGTTTCATGTATTGTCCCCCCCTCTATTGTACAGCGCTGAGCAAACCCTTTGCACTATATAAACTCGATATAATAATAATAATAATAATCACTCAGCTTAGCTGGTCCTACAGTGTCGCCCACTTACTGACTGAACCAGTAAGGTGTTATTCCGTTACTGCTCCCTCGATGGTGAGCGAAATTCTGCACTGCTTTGGCCAATGAAGGAGTGATGACGGAGAAGCAGTGAGGGATCTCTACAGCAGTCTTTTTTTTTTTTTTTTTATTTTATTTATTTCAGGTACTTATAGTGCGCAGTCAATTTATACAGCACTTTACATATATATTGTACATTCACATCAGTCCCTAACCCTCAAGGGGCGTACAATCTAAGGTCCCTAACCCTCAGGGGCGTACAATCTAAGGTCCCTAACCCTCAAGGGGCGTACAATCTAAGATCCCTAACCCTCAAGGGGCCGTCCCAATCTAAGGTCCCTAACCCTCAAGGGGGGCGCTAACAATCTAAGATCCCTAACCCTCAAGGGGCGTACAATCTAAGGTCCCTAACCTTCAAGGGGCGTACAATCTAAGGTCCCTAACCCTCAAGGGGCGTACAATCTAAGGTCCCTAACCCTCAAGGGGCGTACAATCTAAGGTCCCTAACCCTCAAGGGGCGTACAATCTAAGGTCCCTAACCCTCAAGGGGCGTACATTCTAAGGTCCCTAACCCTCAAGGGGCGTACAATCTAAGGTCCCTAACCTTCAAGGGGCGTACAATCTAAGGTCCCTAACCCTCAAGGGGCGTACAATCTAAGGTCCCTAACCCTCAAGGGGCGTACAATCTAAGGTCCCTAAACCCTCAAGGGGCGTACAATCTAAGGTCCCTAACCTTCAAGGGGCGTACAATCTAAGGTCCCTAACCCTTCAAGGGGCGTACAATCTAAGGTCCCTCCCTTCAAGGGGCGTACAATCTAAGGTCCCTAACCCTTAAAAGGGCGTACAATCTAAGGTCCCTAACCCTCAAGGGGCGGGTCCCTAACCCTACATTCTAAGGTCCCTAACCTTCAAGGGGCGTACAATCTAAGGTCCCTAACCCTAAAAGGGCGTACAATCTAAGGTCCCTAACCCTCAAGGAGCGTACAATCTAAGGTCCCTAACCCTCAAGGAGCGTACAATCTAAGGTCCCTAACCCTCAAGGAGCGTACAATCTAAGGTCCCTAACTCAAAATTATACACATACTAGGGCCAATTTAGACAGGATCCAATGAACCTACCAGCATGTCTTTAGAGTGTGGGAGAAAACCGGAGTAAACCCACGCAGGCACAGGGAGAACATGCAAACTCTAGTCAGGTTTTGTTGCTAGGAAGTTGCCACTGGTGACAGGATCAGAGGGGACATGACTTTTAAGTGGCCCGATGATGTTCTGGATATCTCCATTACATAGCAAAGGTATTGCTAATCCTGTCTACATGTGCCATTTTGCTGCATAGTATATGTATATAGTCGGGCTCACTCCACTTGCTTGAACGTAAGCCATGTTTTTTTTGCATCAGATCACCGGGGTGTCCATTCTGAGAGCGGGCGAGACGATGGAACCGGCACTAAGAGCCGTGTGCAAAGATGTGAGGATTGGAACCATCCTTATCCAGACCAACCCTAGCACTGGAGAGCCTGAGGTCAGAGGGCATGTTATCTCATTGTGGAGGGGGGTGTAGATAACAAGGTAATGCAGCAGCCAATCACAAGCTCAGTAAAACTTCTTTAAGTTGCCATGGTTATTGAATCTCGTATATTGGTGCCTTTTTGTATAGGTGCATTTACCATTTTTTTCAAAGGATTATTTATTTAAATATTGGGCGCACAAGGATGTGATCAGCGCCACGTTTACACATTTATCACTGTGTCTTCATGTAAGTAAGAAGGTTAGCAGAAGAGTTGGGCATTGTATCTGCACATGTCACAGCTGTGTTAGCATTGTGCATGAAGTGCAGCACAGTGATTGGGCTTTACTGCTCCTCTCAATTCAAGTCTGCCAATCATTGCGGAAAACAGAATTTATCTGTGGCGTCTCCTGTAATTACAGCAGTTGTTCTATCAGTAACCAATCCTAATGATTGTGGTCTCTCCAGCGGTGAGATCTTTCTGAGTTCTGAGTTTCTCTCTCCGCCATTGAGTCTCACCCCTCCTGTTGTACTTCCAGCAAAAGAAAAGCAACAGGATGAGTGAAGCCCACTAATGCTCAAGGTAGGTAGGCGGAGCTGGAAACCTAGGCGTGGAAATCTCACCATTGCTGTCTTGAGAGATTTAATTGACCATCGAATAATTCAGATTGCTGGTGTCTCTTATAATTTCACTTTTGGGTTAAAGTGGAGCTCCACCCAAAAGGGGACTGCTCCCCCGCTCCCCATTAAGGATTGGCACCTTTGGGGGGAGCGGGTAGCCGAATTTGACAGGTACCCACTCCCACGTCTGGTCCGATCGCCTAGGAAACGGAAGGTGTCCTCCCTCCCTCCCTGTAGTTTTTTGGGACACGTGACAGGTCCCAGAAGACTACAGGACCATTCATGATGCGCAGTGCTACTCGCGCATGCGCAGTGGGTACCCAACTGTGAAGCCACAAGCTGTCACAGCCGGGTGCTCACACTTAAGATGCCGGCTCCTGGAATACAGGATGGCCGGTGAAACGGGCTGCGGGGGACACACCGAGGGACAGGTAAGTGGCTGTTTTTTCAAAAGTCAGCCGCTACAGTTTTTGTAGCGGCTGACTTTTATTTTTTGAACTCCGCTTTAAGTGACCTTTTAACATCACTGCTGTGTCTCTGCCTTGTTCCACCCTCAGCTGCATTACCTGCGACTTCCTAAGGACATCAGTGAGGACCACGTGATTCTCATGGACTGCACGGTGTCCACAGGAGCAGCGGCCATGATGGCGGTCCGTGTACTGCTGGTAAGCTTGTGACCAGACTGGGGAGTTGTAGAAAACCATCTGATGGACTGAGATTTTGTCTTCTGTAACATCATTTTCTCTGCGTAGGATCACGAAGTTCCCGAAGACAAGATTTTTCTGTTGTCATTGCTCATGGCGGAGCTGGGTGTCCACTCCGTGGCTTATGCCTTCCCACGTGTGCGCATTCTAACAACTGCCGTGGACAAAAAAGTCAATGACATGTTCCGAATCATCCCTGGAATAGGTACGAGCCTGATTCTCCAAACCTTCACTGTATTTATGTACATTAGTATTCCCTCCATTCACTGAACACCAGGAGAAGAAAAATGCACTAAAAATGTCGCTTGTTGTACCTTGAGTTCAACTTTTGTTTTTAAAGCTTTTATTTTAAATCTATTCCATCTGTACTCTTTCTGCCTTTTATGGTCCATTCACACTTAGGCCTCATCCACAATGGGCATTTAGCCATGAGACACTGGGGTTTATCTGTGGCTGGAGGGCTCAGCTGCATCATCCATCCCCGCTGCTGGCTGGGCGGCTCACTCAGGAGTACTTCCGGTTTAGGGCAGTATGCACCTAGGGACAAATACCCGGAACGCACACAGCCCTAATGCCCAGAGCATGCGATCAGAAAATCAGACGGAAAATACTGCTTTCAAATCGATCGTACGATAATCTGATCGATAGTACACAGCTTTCGAGAGCCAATCATGACAGTTCACGCTAAATTATCCAAAGGGACAAACACACAATTTTTTGTCGTATGATACCAGAACGTACAATTTTTTGTCGTATGATACCAGAACGTACAATTTTTTGTCGTATGATACCAGAACGTACAATTTTTTGTCGTATGATACCAGAACGTACAATTTTTTGTCGTATGATACCAGAACGTACAATTTTTTGTAGTATGATACCAGAACGTACAATTTTTTGTCGTATGATACCAGAACGTACAATTTTTTGTCGTATGATACCAGAACGTACAATTTTTTGTAGTATGATACCAGAACGTACACTTTTTTGCCGTATAATACCAGAACGTACAATTTTTTTTGTCCGTATGATACCAGAACGTACAATTTTTTGCCGTATGATACCAAAACGTACAATTTTTTGCTGTCGTATGATACCAGGACGTACAATTTTTTGTTTAATCAGTACAGTATTAATCCAAAAAAATCAGAAGACCAAGGCCGCGCATGCTCAAAAATGAAAGAATACATTACAATACATTAGCATCACTTCTGAAATTGTATTCTATCGTATGAGAATTTTCGTAACTCTTCATTTTTGATACGAGACTAGCATGCAAAAACAAAAACAAAAGCGACAATTATTCACATATTCTCATCATGTGTATGAGGCTTAAAGTGGTTGTAAAGGCATTCTATGCATGGAGGTAAAACACCTTCTGTGAGCAGCAGTGCCCCCAGCCCCCTCAATACTTACCTGAGCTCCATTGCGATCCAGTGATGTGAATGACAGCCTCGGTCGTTCCGGGTCTCTGCCTCCTTATTGGCTGAGACAGCAAGCGGGAGCCATCGACTCCTGCTGCTAACAATCAGAGTCAGTCAGCCAATAAGGAGAAAGAAGGGGCGAGGCCAAGCTGCAGCTCCTTGAGTGAATGGACACACATAGCAGTGGGTGCCCCCATAGAAAGCTGCTTGCTGTGGGGGCACCTGACAGATAGGAGGAGTCAGGACAGCCTGCGGGGCACCAGAGACCCCACAATGGTACATTACAGTGAGCTCCCCTGGGTTGGGCTCTACTGTACAATGTATTGGGGTGTGATTCACAATGAATGGTTCTGCACATAGACCAGATGTGTTGCCATAATGCATGCATTTTAGTGCATGTAGCCAAACCTGTGAATGGGTCTATCCATTTCTGTTGGGTATGGGAGGTAGTCATTTTGGCTGGAGATTCGATTTAAGATATGTGTGGAGCTTTGGTTAAATTTTAGGACAGGTTAAGTGTTTAAAATCCCCGATAGGTTATTTTTTTGCCGAGGGGGAAATTTCCCTCCACTTCCTGTCCCATAGATGCAAAAGTAAGTGAGAGGAAACCTCACAAAGTGAGGGGAATCCCTTTCTTTAACATTTGCCCCTGGAACAGATGTCTCCATTGGAAAGTTTCCCCTCACTTCCTGTTCTGGGGACAGCTTTAAAATGAATGCCTGCATTTACATCTACTTTAGAGTGTTTTGGTGTGGGGTGTTTTTTTGTTTTTCTTGTTTTGGACAGAGTAGGAAAGGGCTAGACCCTCTCAAGTTTCTATTGCTGTCTTTCGAGATTCACTCTTTCTAATGTCCATTGTTACTGAGAGTGAGTGGAAATGTAAAATCTCGAAGAAGCTTGAACATGTTAACATCATTGCAAAAGTAATTCTTAATATTTCAAAATTTGCATCTTTCAAATAAACACATTGCGATCCTGCCAGGAAGTTTGTTGTTTAGGTACTTTCTGTTATAGTGTGACAACATCCTGTTCCTGTCCAACAATTGTGCTTCCAGTAAAGAAAAGCTGATGGACATTCCTCAGGTACAGTCCACTGTTGTCACCATCAGGAAGCCCACCCTGAGACGTGTCATGCAGTCATCTGGAGGTGCATGTAGACAGGAAGTGGCTGCAGGCAATCAGCAGTACTAAGATACAAACAGTTGAAAGCATGTTGTGAAGAATACATAGCAATTGTTTATAAAACACAATCACATTAATTTCGGGTTTACATCGACTTTGAATGGTCTGCACATCTCATGTGGCCTCTGTGTGTACCCGACTCCGGTGTGCGGTTAGTTTCTCTTACTGTCTGTCTTTCATTCCAGGTAATTTTGGGGACCGCTATTTCGGTACAGATGCCCCTGCGGACTGGAGTGATGAAGATGACCCGGCTTGATTCCTCCAATTCTTCTCCATCACCGATACCAACTGGAAGAGAGAGACTTACTGGCTTACTGTTCTCCATAGCAACCAGATTCCAGAGTCCTATTCCCGGGTCCAGAGAACAGAAGCTGAAATCTGGTTTCTGTGGACGACGGCTCTGCTTTAGCTGGCTCCAGTTTCATAAATCTATACAGAACCGAGGAGGACTTCAGCTCAGAGCTCCACTTTTTTTTCGTTATATATAATTAAAGTAATTATTTTTATTCTGCTGGTATTCTCTTTTAAATAGTAATGTAAATTAAATATATATTATTTAAAAATAAATATTATTATACATATTATTATGTGAAATGTATGTTTTTGGTTTTTTAAGGGTTTACCGCCTTTACCTATGAGGTGATTTTTAGTCAATGTATCAAATAAATGATGTTCTAAAGCAGGGGTCTCCAAACGTTATATACAAAGGGCCAGTTTACTGTCCTTCAGATTTTAGGGGGGCCGGACTGTGTACATTGTGAGTAGAAAATGTCCCAGTATCAGTGGTAGCAAACAATGCCCCATTTTTGGTGCTAATGAGAGGATCTGTGCCCTATCGTTGTGTCACTGGGGAATCGTGCGCCATCATTAGTATCCTTGGGAGGAATTGTGCTCCATCATTGGTGTTATTGAGCCCAATTGCTGGTGTCATTGGGTGGAATTGTGCCCCATCGTTGGTGTCATTGGGTGGAATTGTGCCCCATCGTTGGTGTCATTGGGAAGAATTGTGTGCTTCTTCATTGGGAGGAATTGTGCCTTTTCATTGGTGTCAGTGGAGGGAATTGTGCCGTGTTGTTGGTGTCAGTGGATGAAGTAGTGCTCCATGGCCAGGTAGAAGCAAGCAAAGGGCTGCACCTGGCCCCAGGGACACAGTTTAGAGACCACTGTTCTAAAGGATAACCAAGAAGGTATCTTTGGGATGAGGTGAATTTACTAAGACTGGAGCAGCTGTTCATGGCAACCAATCGGCTTCAACTTTCATGATCAAAGAGTAACTGAACAAACTGAGGTTAGGAGCTGAAGCTGTGCATAGCCAATCTTGGTTACCCGAAAGTTCACTTGGGTGATTGGACAGTAGCGCCGGTGTCCAAAAAAATCTCTCTCGATCTCCCTCTCTCTCCCGTTCTCTCCCTCTCTTGATCTCCCTCACTCGATCCCTCTCTCTCTTGATCTCCCTCACTCAATCCCTCTCTCTCTCAATCTCCCTCACTCGATCTCTCTCTCTTGATCTCACTCTCTCGATCTCTCTTGGTAATCTTGGTTACCCAAAGGTTCACTTGGGTGATTGGACAGGAGCGCCTGGTGTCCAAAAAATCTCTCTCTCTCTCCCTCTCTCCCTCACTCGATCGAGATTTCTCTCTCCCGATCCCTCTTGCTCGATTTCTCTCTCCCGATCTCTCTATCTTCATCCCTCTCTCTCTCTATCCCGACCGCGCTCTCTCGCTCGATTTCTCTCTCCTGATCTCTCTCTCTCTCTCTCTCTCTCGATCTCACTCTCTCTCAGGGTAAACCTTCCCAGTGGAGACACAGACAGCATTTAAAATCTGAAAGTGGTTTACCTAGCCCTTCCTTACGTCTTCAGAAACGAACCAAAAAAGAGTCACATGACATACACTTTGAGATTGCTTAGCATAATAAAAGATCATTTCCCGTCAAGATGGTTTGTTAACATGATGTGTGACTGATGGTAGAACCCAGGACTTTCCAAAACAGGTATATTATTCAGAAGAAAACAGCTTTGACCAAACCAATGTTCATGCCCTCGAATGATGCCAGCATAGTAGGCTTGCCACCTCATCCCTTTAAAACCGAACACTTATTAATGACACGGGTTCTGAGGCGGATTTATTGCAGATAAGGCACTGAATAATTACCACCTTAATCAGCCTCACAACCCGTGTCATTAATATGTGTTCAGTTTTAAAGGGATGCGGTGGCAAGCCTACAGCATACATTACCAACCCATTCTATACACCAGATTGATCCCAGGACACTTGACGGAAAGTGGTAGGCCAAGGACCACAACGCTGCCCCTCAGATGGAATCCAAACACCAGTTTTCTCGTTTTACAATTTCAGTACTAAAAGTTGGCATTAATAAACACCAGAATTATGCAGCATCCTTCCTGGCGGCAAATTCCTCATCCCGGGTCCAGTCTGGATGTGTAAAGTGACATTTCCCATCATCACTTCAGATCTCTTTGTTGAAGACATCCTCAAAGAAGATTGATGCTCAGTCAAGTACCAGGTGGATCCATGAACTCCCCGTATAGTTTTGTAGGCCCGAGTTTGAATCCCAATACTAGAGGACATTTATTCTCATATTGTGCAGGTTTGGCAATGAGAGATATCATTGGAACAGTTTTCTTAGGAGGTTCTTCTCTTGAGGCTAACACCATAAACCAACACTGAATATTAGCCGGGATCATGATTATTCCCTCAGACTCGAATATTACAGGGCTGGCTGCTGAGCCTCAATGAGAAGAATGAAATAAAAGTCCCACTTTTCACACAGCGGGATTGTTACAGATACTGGCACTGGGGGAGACTCCAGCAAGAATATTGGATCACCTGCCGCTGATCTTCATGAATCTGATAATTATGTGATAACGGGGAATGAGCACATTATTCAGTCATCGGTTTATCTTCTAAGTCTGGATGTTCAATGGACTAGTAGCTGCTAAACCACTGAGCCACAGCTGATTTACAGGCCCAAAAATAAAAAAAATATTCTAAGTCCCACTTTTCACCTCCTTGTAATAAATGCTGAAGCACAAAGCTGCATTCATGCTGTAGTCTGGCTCAGGGGTTAAGCAGCCGCCCCATGAGCCCAGGATGCTTTTCAAGTTGCTGGTTCGAATCCTTTTGCCACTGAGATCATTTTATACTCCTGAAATAGTATAATGACCCCATGACTTGCTGAGCAGAGGCGAGTAGCTCAGTGGATAAGAGTGTTGACCCAGGGCGCCGTAGACCCGAGTTCAAATCCACAGAAATGCTGTAGACCCCCAAGGGCAGATCCATAAAAGCACTGTAGACCCCGAGGGCAAATGTTGAAGTGTGCTGTAGACTCCAAGGGCGATACTGTGAAAGCACTGTAGACCCCGAGCTCAAATCCCTGAGTGAAAGCTTGGAGGCCATGGACAACCCACCAGTCTACTCCAGTCCCAGGTCCCCACAGACCTGTAACATGTGTGGGCATCACATTAGGTTGTGGACACCCCCCTCCTTGGTCCACAGTCTGTGACATCACTGCAACATATATAAATACAATGGGCTGTCTTACCGGGGCAGCCCATTCAAAAAGCAGGGACTTAGGGGTTTTCTTGGCCTCACCCATATACATACGCACACGCACCGCACGTGAACCCTCTGATGGTGGAACAAGGTAGTGGGCCTGAAACATTTCCCACTACTCCACCTCACCATCAGGGGGCTCAGGCACTGCACAGCACCTGGGACACACAAGGCTTCCCTCAGAGGGATTTGAACTCAGGTCTCCAGCAGACCAGTCAGAGCTCTTATCCACTGAGCTACCACCTACACACAGACTAAGGTGTTCTTTCTTCTATTTCAGAAGAAGCCTGAACTTCAAAAAACAAAACAAAAAAACAGCATATAACAGCTAATTTCCCATTTCATGAGTAATTTACAGAAAAGAAGCCACCCAAGCAGGGATTCCAGCTCTTAGCTGCTTTCCATTTATGGTCCCATAGTGTCCATTTGCCTATTTTACAACCATAAACCTACGCCAACCAGAACGCAGGAATCTCCGATCTTCAGTCTATCAGATCTCTTAACCAGCCCATACATTATACGGTTTTGTTTTTTTTTGTTTTGCTTCTTTTTGTTCAACCAGTGGGTTGAATTAAAAAAATTGACCCGATTCCCCGATTGACACATTTGAGGTGGATTGGGAATTCCTTCCCACTGAGCAATTGTATTCTGATAGCAGGAGACTTCTCCAGCGTTGAATACACTGATCTGTGCTGCCAGACAGAGCCGACAGCGCTGATCGAGCAGCATTTACCCGACAGGCTGGTTGTACAGAAGTCAATCAGTAGAACGACTTCTGTTCAATCAAGGTGCCCATACATGGATCTAAAATCAGCTGAACCGGCTGAATATCAATCCATATATGGCCAACTTTAGTCCTAGAGAAAGCATTGCAGTGCTTTATAAAAGTGCTTTATGCAGGCCATAGACAGGTCAAAAATTGGCCGATTTTCACACTATTAGTGGGTTAATTGGTCGGCCGTTTTTCGGGGTTTTGGCACTTTTTTTTTTATCGGTAAAGTTGGAAAATTTGCGGGCAATTTTGACAATCGGCCAATTTTCCCGGCAATGATGGGCAAATCGGCCGATTGTTTTACAGATAAAAAGCCTGCGCATGAGCCGTGACCTGCAAGAAGAAGAAAAAGAAGAAGAAAAGAAAAAGAATTCCAGTCCGCTATTATATTTGACATGAAAGTCTTGAGATTGCAACAATGTATCCATTTGTATCCAAATAAAAACATCTGTATCCGAAATGGATACAAATGGATACAAATGGATACATTAATCCAGTGTTTCTCAACTCCAGTCCTCATGGACCCCCAACAGGTCATGTTTTCAGGATTTCCATTATTTTGCACAGGTGATTTGATCAGTTTCACTGCCTTAGTAATTACCACAGCTGTTTCATCTGAGGGAAATCCTGAAAACATGACCTGTTGGGGGTCCATGAGGACTGGAGTTGAGAAACACTGCATTAATCCAACCACAATACTTTTTCATGTGAAATATAATAGCGGAGCTCTCTGCAGGGACAGAAGTAATTAAATGCCGGCCGTAGATGGGCCGAGCCGTAGATGGGACGAAAAACGGCCGATTTCTTTTACCGTTGGTGGTAACGTCGGCCTATTGAACGACCGATTTTTGTTGTTTTTTTTTTTAAAACGACCGGTTTTCAACCCGTCTATGGCCTGCATAAGATGCA